ATAGCTAAGGAAATGTGGTAATCTACCCATCCGAGAAAATTTGGTAATCACGTGACCGCACACCAACCGACCGCCCGCCCGCCCGACCGTCCGTCCGCACCACAGGCATACCAATGCAAAATAACTCAATCAACAGGTATGGAAGCCCAAATGCAACTCAAGGTTTTATTTGGAAGGAAATCACATGGCGGCCCGGACTTTAAGAAAGAAAAAACAACAACAAAGTCGTGTCTTTTCAGCGTTATTTTTTATGTTTACACTAACATGGATAACAGAGAAAGAGCTAGAGCGAGTTATTGAAAACAAAGGAGACGAATTTCAAAGCGGCGGTGAGAAAATCTAAATGCTAGCGGCCAGCAAGGTGAAATGAGCGGCAGTGAAAAATAAAAGCGAACATGAACACAGGAAACAAAATATTGGGTAAGCACATACGACAATTCCTCCATAAAAATAATGTGTAACTAGGAAGTTTGACATTTTAGTCGTGCAAAACAGCGTTGTAGTCGTACAAAACAACGGCAAGGGAAAGACAAAAAAACGTGCTGCACGTGCAAATTTGTTTTTTGCTAATTAGAAGAAAAAGTGTGCTGCACGTGCAATTTGTTTTTTGCCTAATTAGATCTATTAGTCTTGAAGCCATTTTCATTAGGGCCATTTATACGAGGAAAAATAAGACGCGTCTTACATAAGATGCGTCTTAAATAAGACGCGAACTTTCCGTATAAACAGCACATTTCGTCTAAAATAAGACGCGACTTAGCTAAGACGCGTCTTATTTTAGAACAGCCCTTAACACCTGTTCATAGATAAGACGCGTCTTAGCTAAGACGAGAAAAACTTCGTATAAATGACCTTTGCGTCTTACATAAGACGCAAACGCAGGGTACGCATGCGTTAATTTTCGGCGGGAAAATTTTCGCGCCTTGTTGGTTGCCGTTGCTACGGGCAACATCCACATAAAAACGAATCAAGAACAGAAATAAGACGCGAACCATTTATACGAGCTGTTCTCGTCTTAGATAAGACATGCTCGTATAAATGGTACAGTTCGCGTCTTATTTTTCCTCGTATAAATGGCCCCATTGTCGTCCTCGTTTAGCATTACACAATCAATTTTTTTTTGTTTACACGTATTATTAACCAGAGCTTCGCTTTTAGCCCGGTCTAAATCTATATATTATGATTTCTCTTATGTTATTAGAATGGTCTAGAGGCTTATAATTTGACTGATGACGGGCCAGTTTTATATATCTTGTAAATTTAGACATAACGGTAGAACAACTCTTTGAATTACAAGTGATTGGACTCGACAATTTCTGTCGTGGTTACGTCATGGTTGGTACAGCCTTGAGCCAAACGTCGTGCTTGAATTGCACCCATTGTGTTCGTTTAAGTCCCTTGCAAATGGATGCAACATTGTTGGTTGTCATATGTTGCGACCTTTTGCACACTCTGTTGCTCGTTGTTGCGTGTTGTTGGGAGTTGTTGCACAAAGTTAGACACCAGTCAAACGTAGCCCAACAATGTTGGATCCGTAATGCCTAGCTCTTCCAACATTGTTAGGGCCACTCACGCGCATTGAAGTCTTATGGTCTGTATCCTTCCCACGCCGATGCACTGCAGCTCCAAACATTGTTGGGAGTTGGAGTTTCCTTTGCTCAGGATTCGATTCCTTAAATTGTCAAATCTAAAAACAGTTGGTATTTGAACAGGAGAAAGGTCCAGTTTTTCAGCCACTAAGCTGTATAATTATTTCTAGAAAATGCAATTTTCGAGGATAGATATAATATGTGAACAAAAATTACTAAAGGTACACTCTTCCAATAATTATATACAGGAATAAACAATCCCGCTTATAATATTTGTATACTCTTAAATCAGAAAAACTTATTCAAAACGTTGAAATCCTATTTTTTATAATTTTGTAGTTCACGTGCCATTAAATAAATTTAAAACCTAATGAAATCCACATTTTTCCCCTAACTATGCTAGTGGGGCAGAGAAAATGCCTGAAACAAATAATTCAAATCAAACATAACAGGTTAACAATGCCAACTCTTCTAGTTAAATTTACATTTGCGATTAGGAGGACTGTAAATTAAGTTGATATCTCTAGGCATGGTAGTGTATCCTAGTTAAGTACATTAAAAATAGGTAGTAGAATAATACGCACTATTATGTACTAATTCCATTGTCTTCTTCTGTTCACTAGTAGCTATTTTGCAGTAGTTGTTAGTATCTGTTACACGGGTCAAGTAAAATCAACTCTATGTAATTTGGTGTGTAGTAAGTTAGGTGTCCCCAATTAGTTTACAACTGTGTAAAGTAAGTAACTATCATTATCATTATATTTTAAAACAATACTAATTTTCTTAACACAGGAGCTGTGGTAAGGGGTTCAATTAAAGCTACAGGCGAACTGAATGTCACACATCCTGTGAAGAAAATAATGGAGGACAATGAAACTGACAATGACTTTGAGGAGGACACTTTAAGAGGTGTATATAAACTGAATAAAACGAGTTTAGTATAGTAGTTGACGTTGTAACATGGATTTCAGTATTAAAATCGCTATTTGGACAACGAGTGCAGAATTTTTAAGTTTGTTTAGTCTCGTTCTTGGGACGCCTGTGTAGCTAGCGGTTTGTTTGTAGTCGTAGCCTTTACCACGCGTTGAGATAGTGGAGTGCTGCGCAAAGTAAGAGAGCGGGAGAAAAATAAGGAGATGAGGTTGCGGGAGAGAAACTCTCACTCCTTATCCCACCCCCTCGTTGTTTTTCCTGCTCTCATCTCTTCGCGCCCTCCCCACGATCTGAACACCTGGAACAGGGTAGTTGTAGAGCGCGCACATTCTCCTCATTCCCCTCGCGGCTTCCCCGCTCGTTCAGGGGTACGCTCCCCACAGAAAACCGCCGTTTGTCCGAAAGTGTGAGTAAGGAAGGTACGAACAGTTACAGGACGTTCCCGGTACGTGCTTCCTATCTCAGACAGTTCACCTGTCTTATTTTAAATCCAGTAACGAACCTTGGTCGCGGGGTAGTGTTATACTAAGTCTTAACTAAAATATGGAATGGCAGGTTTATTTTAATGCTGACAATCCACCGTCTGTTTGATGTCTTATACCACTTGAACTCTCGATCACTCGTACTTTTATTCACTCAATAAAAATAGTTCTACGTTGTTGAATATGACATCAGCGTATGCCTGCCGTACGAACGCTGTACAGACTGTAAGGAAGGTGCAGGGGTGACTCTGCAAGTAAGGGGATCGACAAAGGAATCGAAGACATGCATCTCGCTCTTTTCTGGGCCAAAATTTAACCAGTTCAGTCCATTTCTCAATCAACAACAACGAAAGTAAGTTTGTAAAGAAACTGCGGTATCGGTAGAGAAGTAAAACTTACACAAAGACTTACTTTATCAACTGAGCTGATAATTAAAGCAAATCGGCAACGTAGAAAGATCATGATTGACTGACGTTCAGATTGCTAGAACTTTGTTAGAGTGAATTGGTCTGACTAATTTACAGCTGTAGTCTAGTAAATCCACGGGACAAGTGAATCTATTACAACAGTTGTGTTGGGAGGTAAAATAGGATGCAAGGCTTGTGCTCAGACTTCCTCAGGAACCGTGATTGTTTTCGTTTTAGAAAAAGCGGAAGAACTCAAGAATGCAGGCAATGAGGCGTACTCAAAGAAAGATTTTGCCACAGCCATTTCCTTTTACACGGAAGGAATCAGAATTCAATGCACGGATAAAGAACTTGTTTCCAAGCTGTACAACAACAGATCGACGGTATACTTCTATTTAGGTAATAAACTGAATGTGGGATCAACAACAAACTTTCTAACTGAGGGACGTGGCATTTACGGATACCCCCTACGTACAGACTTCCTTTAATATTCAGTCTAGAGAGTGCACACTCATTGGTCTCGCTTCTGTAAGCAGCGATACGGCAGCCATATTGAATTTATTAGATTTAAGGGGTATTATGAGATGCTCGGGGGGTACTCGTTCAGTATTTAGGCGCGCTTCTCGGGCAAAAGAGAACTTCACTGTATATTTCTTGTGGAAAGGCGAACATTATGACATCCAAACACGGCACATCAATCTTTTTTTCTTCTTACGAATGATTATCATATGGGTATCTTTTTTAGAGAATTACCATGATTGTCTGAATGACGCAAAAGCTGCAACAGCACTACAACCGTCTTACCTCAAGGCGATTATCAGAGGTGAAAATGAATATCAGTTGAAAATCTGAAGCATATCTCTCTTTATGAGAAATGACAAATGAGTCGACTTTGTTTCACTAGGAGCAAGCGCCTGTGTAAAGTTGAAGCAATTTGAAGAAGCTATCATCTGGTGTGATAAAGGACTTGCCGTATCCTTTCTTAGATAAATACACGCTGGCTCATTGCACAACTATTTTTTCTTTACTTTTAATACTTTACTATCAACTCACTTTTTTTAGCTTTCACTAATTGAATCAATGAAGACGATTTAAAAATAAGATGATCTGTCAGTGGCGAGTTTAACGGTTTACATTAACAGTAGCCGCTATTGATATGTGCAGAAAAAGATTTGATTTTTTTAAACAACAGCTGTTACTGTTCTTCCTATTGTCACAACTACAACTTCTAATGCCAAAAACGTATGTACGGCTTAGGTTAAGAATGAATTTAGATTATTTTCTTCACCTTTACCCTTGTAAGATTGACAAGGACAACCAGGATCTGTTGAAGATAAAAAGTTGTTCTATCAAGGAACGCAAAAAGCTGTCAAAACAGGGAGGGGACGAAGACGCAACAGAAGAGGGCGAGTCAGGACCTAACCCAAAATCTTTTGATTGTACATGTAAGTAAACTTCAAACAAAAAGCGGGCTTGTTAACCAGGGTCTTCACTTTAAGTGGCTCTGCACAACATTTTGTATGTCAGACAACATTTTCAGTTTAATTTATTCTCTGGCCCCGGTTAGTTCAGTTTGCTAGCAAAACTTTGTATGTATTTTTGTTTCAGTAATTGCGGAGACTAGCAAAAATGCTGGCAATGATGCATTTCATAAAGATGATTTTGTCAAAGCTATAAACTTGTACACAGAGGGAATTGAAGTGAAATGCAAGGATAAGGATCTGAATGCAAAATTGTATAACAACAGGGCATCAGCTCACTATCACTTGGGTAAATATCATATTCATATTTACACATTGTCAACCTTGCATTAAATTCCGTATCCAACATGCTATTCTCTATTCTGTATCCCAGCCCTTCTTCGTAAAGACACTTCTGGGATCTCTATGTAACTACCGTAAAATTCCCAAAATAAGCCCAGGAGCTTATATTTTTCAAAGGCCCTTTTTGAGGGGCTTATTTTTGGAGGGGATTATCTGTGGAGGGAAATTTGCGTTTCAAAATGGATTGGGCTAGCCTTATAGTTGGAAGTAAATTTACCGTTTTTTCTTTGTTTTACTTTGTATTTGAGGGTAATTTTCCAAGTACAAGCCCCCAGGGGGCTTATATTTACAGGGGCTATTTAACGGAGGGTGTTTTGCGTTACCGGTTTGGGGGGGGGGGGGGCTTATATTTGGAGGGGCTTATTTTCGGAATTTAAGGGTATCTCTATTGCCCCATTGATGAATCAGGATAAAGTCTTAGGTGAGCGAACTTTTTACAGCTTAAGAAAGTAACAGAGGGGGAAGAGGGGTGGGTTCTCGATAGACCTCGATAACATCGTCTCAAAGCAGATAGTGCCTGGTCTCTTGATTTACGTGTTCATTAATGGCTCAAGTCTGAGTTTCTGAAAACCGTATGTCCCTTTTATGTGCCGTAATAGGTTCGATTCATGCACGTATCCTCCCGTTCCGCCAATGTATACTGCGCTGCATTCGCAAGGAATCTTATAAAATACTCAATCATGCTTCCTTGGGTTACTTAAGGAACTTAGATCGCACAGAATGTTCAGTGTCGTGTCCAATATGAAGACAGCCCGGGTGTACGAATCTTTTAAAGACAAAACAGGCACTGCCCCACAATTATGAGACCCCTGCATGAAGTAATTTTAAGTGCTAATTTTTTCGAGCTGATATGGCAATTCTTTCTAAGCTACTTGAGGATTATTCTTTTTAATAAAAGAATAATAAGAAAACATTCTTGACAGAGATGTGATGGCGAACGTTGGGCCTGCTCAATACCTTAGAAAGATGATTTGTCAATTAGTGGCACAGGCAGCTCAGAGGGAAGAATTCGAGTACTCCCAATACTCCCTGAGTCACTGATTGTAAAATCATCTTTCTTATGTATTCAACAAACTCCAAATTCACCATCAAATCTGTATCATTGCGCATAAGTAGATATTAACATTCATTTTTGACCAAGCAGTATGCAGGTTATTTGTCACTTAAACCTTGTTCAGTAGTGCCCTTACCTCCCACGAGTCTCTTGTAGCTTAGTGGTAGAGCTTATGGACTAGCCGCTTGAAGGTCATAGCTTCCTCTCCTATTGGGCCGCCTGTGTTACTGATTGAAAAGTTATATTTCTCAAAAAACTCTTTTTCAGAGAATTACCGTGATTGTTTGATTGACGTAAAAGCTGCGACAGCACTACATCCGTCTTATCTCAAGGCGATCATCAGAGGTGAAAATGAATCCCAGTAGAAAACCTGAATTTTTTTTTCTTCCATTTAATCATTTCAAATGAGTCGACTTTTTTTCCCTAGGTGCGAAGACCTGTTTAAAGTTGAAGCAGCTTGAAGAAGCCGTCGTCTGGTGTGATAAAGGACTAACCGTATCCTTTCTATGTTATGTCTATCTTTTCACAGACCTTCTTTTCCTCTCTTTTGAGGTCTTCATGTGCACGTACGAAAAGCCGCAACGCACTGGATAAATTACTTTAAAAAGGGAAGGAAAAAGCATGTGTGAACAGGCTATCTTTTCTGAGAGGAGCAAATACAAATCCCTGACCGCACAGATTATTACCTTCTTTACTTTTACTAGGTCAATGTCTCTTTTTTTACCTTTGACTAAATTAAGCTTGAATCGATAAAATTGGTTTTAATATTAAGGGGGGAGGACGGTTAAAAGTATTATGTTTTGTTGATTTCCACCCTTTTTCTTAAATATCAGTCCAAGACTTCATTCAATCCAAAAATGACTTAATTAAGTTACAGTCCTTAGTTCAATAGCCTGCGAACAGCAGACGCATTTCCGGTAGTCGCTTCTCTCCCTCCGTAAAATAGCGTTTGCGAACCCGAGCGGCAAAACGATTTCCGTGACGTAAACGTTTTGAGCCAATCAAGGAACTAACTCGCGAGACGTCTCGCAAGATCGTGCGCGTTGGATATGTTTACAAGTCGAAACTGAAAGGACGACGTAGCTTGTGTATGGCCGCCGTTTTTTCTCAGAACAACGTGTTTACGAAAGTTAATTTGCCAGGATTGTGGGACTGATTGACGAAATAAGAATCAAGTGGATTCATATCGAAGAAAAGATTAGAGGACATTTGCTTTCTATATCTGCTGCTATCCTATTTCTACGATCCTGGCATGTTTATTTTGCGTTGGAGTTCGAATTTCGTGAAAAAAGTTGTGTTGAATGAGAGCATGTCGGCGAAAATGGCATCTCGTGTTTCCTACCTTGTATATTATTATTGTATATAGAGTGAATTTGAACAAATTACTGCAAATTATCACGAAACTTCGTTGCAGCAATAAGGACAACAACAATTAACTGCACAGTAAGGTTCATTGATCTTTATTTAGTATTTTCTAGAAATTTTAGGATGGTATTTTTTACCCCATACAAACACTGTAATTTTACTGGAACCGTACTTTGGTGCTATCACAGAGCCTGGGTGACCTGTGGTTATGGTCGTGAAATTCACGTTCCAAAGCGTATTTGATAACCTCGCCGAAATCCAAGACACTTCAGCGCGCGAGGTCGCGAGGAGTCACTCGAGCTGTATTCTATCCTTTGATCTGATTGGCCAACATCAAAACAAAAGGTTTTACGTCACCGAAAATCGTTTTGCCGCTCGGGTTCGCAAACGCTATTTTTCGGAGGGAGAGAAGGGCCGACCGGAAATGCGTCTGCTGTTTGCAGGCTATTAGTTCAATAATTATTTGGATATTTTTAGATGCTCTTTCAAATGTCTTTAATGTGTAAAATTTAGGGTTGGAGATGTTTGAAATTTGGAGAAAAAAGGAAAGTGTTGGATTTGTGGGTTCTTAAAAATTGAAATATGAAGTGAATAATTAGTAGAGAATTACCAGATAGTCCACCACCACAACAGTCTTGCGGGGCAAATTCGTTCCGGGACCAGGCTCCGAAGTGGGGGAAAAGGCAAAACACGGTGTGAAATAGGAAAGATCAGGATGGGCTCCTGGAAAGATATATATCGGCTAGCAAAGGGATGGGTGAACTGGGAAGGGGGCCACCGCCACCCTTTCCCTACCCAGACTACAACTGGGCTCTCTTCGCTCGCCGATTTTTTTCTCCTTTTCCCCCCGAATGCGGAACGTGGTCCCAGGTTACAAAAAATGGAAAAGCAGAACAATAAAGAAACCGAGGAAAAATGCCCTATAAACAGTGTATAGAAGCAAGATTGCAATGTTTGCGCAGAGCTATATAGTCGCCCGTTTTGCATTTATTTAGTAGCATGCTCGTTTCTCACTTCGACTCAGATATTTTGTCTGAATGATGAAACTTAGCTGGTGGTGCTCATAATTAGGGCCCATTTAAAGAATAATATTGTACAAAATCACACTTTTCGCAAATTCACGAACAGCAAAGAAACTCGGAATGTAGCCTGTTTCAGGCTCCCAGATAGTGAGGAAGACGCGAAAGAAAAGGGCACGAGAAAAGTTGGCGGGGCGGGAAAAAGGAAAAAGGAAGGGAGAGAGAGCCTGTAATAATTTTTTTTACGACCCTCTTCCGCCCACTTTTGGCACGTTTGAGATAATTAGATTTCGGCTGTCAAACTGTTGAAATGTCAATAACTTGGAATCTTTCTCAAATTTCTCGCGAGATTATTTCGCGAAAATGCTGCTTTTTTCGGTGAATATTTTCTCTTACAGGTAGATTATGCTCTGGAGGGGTCTACGTTTTGACTGTGCAAACTATGTGATTTTTGCTGCCTGTTTCATGCTGAGAGGTCGCGACACGCATATTGATTTTCTGAGGTTTTTGTTTCTCGGGTCGGCATGATTGATGATTTGCCCTCTGATGCAAGAGCATTTTCTTTGACCTCTTTTGAAACGTAAAGTTCTTCATTGCGGCTAAATATGGGTTTTAGGTTGTTTGATTTTCTCCAAAGTCCCTATCTAAATAACTGAAAGCGATTTTCTTTTGTCCGTGAATCTGATGGCCTCCTACAATGAGTTTTTTCAAGCTGAGCCCAGCTCGTTAGTGTTTTTGCAGGATGTAAAATTCTCACAGATGGTGATTCATAGATCCAAATTTCGAAGAATGGATTGCAGCTTAAACTGAAGCTACTTTAAACATGGAGAACCACGTTGTGAGTCAGTCAAGATTGCTCTTTTAAAAGCAATGCAGCTTGTTCTTCTAAAGAGATCTAAAGATAATGTGAATCTGGACTGGAGCACGTAGATAACTCCTGGCGACTGTTCTGTTATTGCCACTTTGTTATTGGGCAAGACCGAAGCCGGTCGGCAAGATCACAAAAACATCTTGTCCACGCGCCAAGTTCACAAGGCAGGTCTTCTGTTCCTTCCTCAGCGCTCCTATGTGCGGGAAGTCTCGTAAACATTCGTTCAACACCGTGAAGTTATCGTGGATTCCTCTATTTCACGCGCGTGGACGCCGCACGCCATCTCTCTGAGTGACAGGAACGACCCTCTTTGGGAACGTTGATATAATCTGTCAAATCTGACCAATCAGAGGGTATACCAGGAGCTGGTATACCGGAACGGGTCGTTTAAAGAAATGATTACAGGCTCCGTCGCCCCTGCTCTCCCCAGTTTCCTTCCGTTTTATTTTCGTGTTTGTGCTTCCTCGATTCAGCGGACCCGACTATCCCGGAGCCTGGAACAGGCTACTTGGAATGAAGCCGCCTCAACGATTTCTCCCGGTTGGCGAATCCGCTCTAGGAACCAATCAGATTTCAGGATTTGGGAATTCTTCTCGCTTTTACAATTAGCCACGTGGGGCTCGTTTTTCACATATATTCACTCAGTATTTTTAAGGGGTGATTCTTCTTAAAAGCCTTGTTTTTCGTCTATTTTAACCCACTGGCTCCACAATTAAAAGTTAGGTATTTTTGGATGATTTCTCGACCGTGTCCAATGAATAAAAATTGGGGATGTTTGAAATTATATAAAATTGGAAAATATTGGATTTGAGGATTGAAGGTAAGAAGGAAATAATGAGCAGACAAATACCAGATGGTCTACCACCACAAGGTGCTCCTGAGCTCATTAGTGGATCAACTTACCTTTTTCCTCCCTTGTTTCTTTCATTCCTAAATCAACCTCATTCCCACCAAAGAAAAAAACAGCCGCAATTCATATCCATATGATTTACCAAGTCCATTGTAGTAAACCTGACTATCAAACTTGACAGTCTTAAGATTGACAATGGTAACAAGACGCTCTTAAAAGTAAGGGGGATATGCCAAAGGGATACTCCAAACTCAGAAGCTACCACTGTGAAAAAAACGGTTAGTGGTCGATGTACATAATATTTTGGGCTCACGGGTAACTGTTCAACCAAGAAAATGTGTTAATCGCAAATAAATACGTTTTGAAGTAAGTACAGTAGAACCTCGATATAGCGAAGGGCCGAGGGACTGGGGAAATTTGTTCGTTATATCGAAAACCTCGATAACGAATTTCTGGTAAAACAAGCAAAATGTTCTTTATATCGAGGTAGAATGAATGATAAATTTCCAACGCCAAGCATTTCCGGGTCTGAACAATTTCTGTAGTGAGCATTTGTATACGTAGCTATTGCCTCAGTTCAGAGCTGTTAGCAACGGCAGTAGAAACACAAAAACAGGCAAAAAAAACTTCTTAAAACTACTGTACACATAAATTTTATCCTCGTTGCTCTGTTTTAAATTCATCTTTAACTATCTTTCGGTCACATGTTGACATTTATTCGTTATATCGAGGTATATTTTATGCTTGCGTTTCTGGGTTGTGTTCGTCAAAACGAGGATTTCATTCGTTAAATCGAAGTTCGTTATATCGAGGTTCTGTTCCATACATTTTATTGTAATTTTGGCTGGGCTGAAGAAAATCGTTCGTTATACCGAGGACTGGTTGAATAGAGTTTCGACTGTATACACATGGTTAAGATAAGAGAGACATTCACACGAGACTTACCTCAAATCTACCACGGTTGCATGGTTGGGCATACATTTTTGAGACGTGCGCGAAAACCAGTACACCAATACAATCAACTATCCTGACTAATATCTGACTAAAAAACAATTCAATTTTACAGGTGTTAACTCCATATCAACCATCAACGAATTTGCCCAAAGAAAACCAACCCGTTGAAAAAGATGATGAATTTGCACACGTTATGAGCAATTTTGATGATGTGCCAAATCTTTCTGGGAATTTCAACAACATCGTTAACTCTTACTGCCAAATACTCAGTACTGCCAAGCATGCGGGAGATAAAGCTAGAGAAGGAGCTGTGTATAGTACTCTTGGTGGGTTATTTCTGGATCAGTGTGATTACAAGAAAGCCAAAGAATATAACTACCTTGCTCTTGATATTTTCAAAGAATTGGGCAACAAGAGACGGGAAGGATATGTGTGTCAATGTCTTGGTGATGTTTTCCAAGAGCTCTGTAATTTTGAAAAAGCCATTGAGTACCAGAAACGTGCGCTCAGTATAGCAATAGATCTGGGAGAAAAACCTTTGGAAGGTTACGCTTGCTACGGTCTTGGCAATGCTTTTCGAGGTTTGTGTAGTTATGATAAAGCAATAGGCTTCTACAACCGTTGTCTTAGAGTCGCCAAAGGTCTGGCTAGCAAGACAATCGGAAGGCCATTAGAAGGTGTTGCCTATAGCAATCTCGGACATGCTTTTGACTGTCTTGGTGAATACAAACAAGCTGAAATTTACCATAGGCTTCACCTTAGCATTGCCAAAGAGAGGAGACACCAGTCTGGAGAGGCAGACGCTTACACAGGTCTTGGCAACGTTTTTCTAGGCCTTGGAAATTTCAAAAAAGCCCAAGAGTATTACAGCTTAGGCCTTAGCATTGCCAAAGATATACGAAACAAAGGAGCAGTAGCACTTGCATATTCAGGTCTAGCAAACGCTTCCCTCGGCCTTGGAGATACAAAAAATGCAGTAAATTACTCTAATCTGTATCTTACCTGCGCCAAAGAACTAGGGAACAAAGATCACGAAAAGGGTGCGTATTGCACCCTTGGACATATTTATAACAGTCTTGGAGACTTCAAGAAGTCCATAGAATACTATAAACGCCATCTTGATATTGCTAAAGATGTTGGAGACTTGGCATCAGAAGGTGGCGCGTATGGTGGCCTTGGTAGTGTTTTTGACAGCCTCGGAGATTTCGAAAAAGCCATTGACTACCACAAGCGACATCTTCGTATTGCTGAAACCATTGGAGATAAAGATGGGGAAGCAAAAGCATATGGTAATCTTGGCAACGCTTATCTTGGCCTTGAGGACTTCACTGCAGCGCTCCACTTCTTTGAACACCGTCTTAGAATTGCGAAAGACGTGGGAGATAAGGCAGGGGAAGGTCGTGCATATGGCCATCTCGGCGGCACTTTTCAACGTCTTGGAAACTACAAGAAAGCCATGGACTATTACAACCTGCGTCTCTGTATTGCCCAAGAAGTGGGAGACAAGGCTGGGGAAGGGGCTGCCTATGGCTATTTAGGTTCAGTTTCCCGGTTTCTTGGTGACTACAAGAAAGCTATCGATTGGCACAACCAACAACTTACAATTGCTAAGGATATAGGAAATCAAGGCATGGAAGGTCAAGCCCGCAGTTATATTGGACGATGCTTTGAGATGCTGAAAGTTTTACCTAAAGCATTAAAAAACTACCAAACAAGCGTTGAGGTTTTCAATCAAATGAGGAGTCTACTTCAGTCTGAAGATAAATGGAAGATTGGATTTAGGAACGAATGTAACTATGCTTACACAGGCCTTTGTAGAGTTTTGTTAAAACAAGAAAAGATTGATGAAGCTCTGGCTGCTGCCGAAGAAGGTCGGGCCCAGTCACTAGCTGATCTTATGACATCCCAGTATGGTTTTCATGAAGGTCAAACCGAAGAAAAGCTCCTTGACGAAGAGGAATTCGGCATGTTAAACAATACTTCAAGCACTATTTTTCTATCTGTGTCAGAAAATAAGATAAATATCTGGTTACTCTTGAAAGAAAAACCTGTTCTTCACCGACAGAAGACACTTTGCCACCATTTTGCAGAAAATGCAGCGGCTGAAACATTACAGTCCCTAATCCAATTTGCGTACAAAAACAATGATGTTCGTGCAAATGTTAACTGCGAGAATCGGTCCTTAGATGTATTACGCGAAAACTGCTATACTGTGGAACGATCATCCAAAGCTTTCTCACAGCAAATTCTCCAAGAGGATAACCCTCCCCTAGCCGCCTTGTACAGCTATGTTATTGCCCCAATTATGGATCTCATTGAGGGCGATGAGCTAATAATTGTCCCGGATGGTCCATTATGGCTTGCGCCGTTTGCTGCATTACTGAATCCTTTTTCCAATTACTTGTGTGAATCCTTTAAAGTCAGATTAATTCCTTCGCTGACAAGTTTGAAAATTATTGCTCATTGCCCAAAATTCCACAGCAGTAGCGGAGCTCTAATTGTCGGAGATCCAGACGTGAGTGAAGTTACCAACAGCCATGGAGACCAGCTCGAACAGCTTCCTTTTGCCAGACAAGAAGCACAGATGATTGGGCAGATTCTTAATACGGCACCTCTCACTGGAAAATTGGCCACCAAATGTGAAGTGCTAAAACAGATTAGTTCGGTTGCCGTAGTACACATTGCTGCACATGGACGCATGGAAACCGGAGAGATAGCGTTGAGCCCGAATCCTGAAAGCCGGAAATGGCAGACCCCTGCAGAAGAGGATTACATGTTGACAACGAAAGATGTGATGAGTGTAAAGCTGCGAGCCAAGCTAGTTGTCCTTAGTTGCTGTCACAGTGGTCGGGGAGAGATCAAAGCTGAAGGTGTGGTTGGTATAGCACGTGCCTTTATTGGTGCTGGTGCTCGTTCTGTTCTGGTGTCGCTTTGGGCCATCGATGACAAGGCCACGTTGGAGTTCATGAAAAGCTTCTACCACAAACTTGTGAAAGGGCAAAGTGCGAGCGAGTCTCTTAACCACGCAATGAAATGTCTCAGAGAATCCGAAGTGTTCAGCGATGTAAAATACTGGGCGCCTTTTACGCTTATAGGCGATGACGTTACTCTCGACAAACAAGAAGAAATCGGGGTCTCGTAAATAAATTAAGAAACTATGTCCCCAAAAGGCAGAGAGATGGAATGAAACAAAGTCTTGTCGACCTTCCCACAACGTCTTCTGACTGTGAGCAACGTAAATGAGAATTAGATATCGTCTACCTGAAGTTACCCAAATAATGCCCGTTTGAGTGAAAAAAGCGGTATCACTTCTCTTCCGCGAAAAAAAAAATCACGGGTGCGAGGAAGACTAGCAGTCTAAGCAAGTGAACAATTTATTTCAATGATAAACCCTAGCAAGGTCTATCTCATGCATTACGTTCTGTTTCATTTTTCGGACAAATGAAGTACTCAGTGTGGAGCCTACAAAACAAAGAGCCAAGGGACTGGCAAAATTTGTTCGCTTTTACGCGTTTTCGTTTGATCGAAGTTCTTTTCCATGCATATATTTTACTATTACTAGGTGAAGAAAATCAATCGTTATGCCGAGGACTTCGTTATATAGAGGTTCATTATATTATATTACCACTGTAATAACACAGAATTGGTAATTGTACCCTTAAATTTGTATAGAAAACTAATTACAAGGCTGAAGGCTGTGAGTTTTTGTCCTATTACAGAAGGCAACGAGGAATTAAATGTTAAAGGAGCAGTGTCCCGACTGATATATCGTGTTTTCTCAGTAAGCTAGTTTCAGCTATAGTTTTAAGCAGTATGTAGTTGTTATCGTGCAGCAGTACAAAAAGATAAATAATCAAAAAATGAAAATAAAATTCTTTGCAATGGTACATCTAATTTGATAGGATCTAATTCACTTCCCGGCTTCCTTTGGGCACTTCAAAGACGTTTTAAAATAAGGTTCATAGTATACTTGGCAACGCAACATAAGATAAGAACTAACATATTTCGAGATTTTTGCGTGGAATGCAGCTGAACATGAATTTAATCCCTTAATTCACTCTTTAGGACTTCAAAAGAAAAAGGAAAGAGATAAAAGACCGTGCAATTTGATAATGAAACAGTCAAATCTCTCAAGCAAGACCGCCCTTCGGTACCAGCAAGTGTCAGTCTTATAGTGTTATCGATCCCTTCTCTCTCTTTAGCCCTTTCACTCCTAATACAGGAATACAAATGTCTTTTTGTAAAATCCTACGAAATATATATAGTGCTGTGTCGTTGGCAGAGGAAAGCGCACAAAATCTGTTTTATCAGGTGAGGTACTACCATAAAGAGATTGAAAAGCTCAGGTTTTGAGCATCAACCAATTGTTAGTGCGAAAATGGCGGGTGGTCAACGCCTTGGGACTCTGAAACCAGGCACAAATCAGTTGAATGAAAGAATTTCATATTCATTCCGTTCCAACTTGGAAGGTAACTGATTGTTCTAAATTTTTGCGGCTTTCCTTGTTACCTTGGTATAGCGAAAGACCACAGTGAATGACGCGACAACCCAAGAGGAAAACCGTTTCTTATCTTCGCACCTGTCAAAAAATATCTGAACTGGATTCGCCAATCCCAAGCAATGACCCACTATGGAGGGATCTTCTTGAAGCGTGAGCTAACTTTAGCTCGTTTTAACTCCTACCCCTTTTATCCCTTTTAAGACGGGAGTTCATAGGCGAAGTATAAGTAGAAGGGAGAAAGGGCTTTCCCAACCTCGTTCCCAGGGTTCTCTCTTACCCGTCCCAACGGAGTGTCGTAGGAACGGGTAGGAGAGAACCCTGGGAACGCGGTTAAGGCTTTCTTTTTTTAGCCTTAATTTGCGATAAGCACCCATAACAGAAGAAGAGCCGTGAAAGGAATCTGAGAGATATCGAGCTCAGGTAATCTGAAATCTGTAGACTTTCCTTTTGTAGCCCAACCTCTCCTCTCATCGTTATTAGCCAATTAGAGCTATCATAAAACAGAACTCGATGCAGCCCCAAAATTATTGTGTTTATGGTTCATGTAGAACGTTGATGTAACCAGCAGTCATCTCCATAGAAACGAAAGTATTTTTTTTTTCAATGCTGAAAGACCCCAAACCATACTGGCAAATACCGCAAAATAAACTTATAATTTGAAGGGCTGAATACGCTGCAAAAATACTGAGTACACCATTTTCACATAGGCAATAATGCACATTGTTTACTCTTAAACCCGCCGCCTCCCCCCCCCTTCCCCCCAAAAAAGGAAATTGCATAACCATTTTCTTAGATTTCTCTTGGGACGGCTATAATACCCATATTACTCAGGAGAAATTGGAAACAATGGTTATGCACAAATTTTGGGGGTTAACAAGATGCATTATGGTTTATGTGGAAATGGTGAAAAGAATGTTTATCCGGGAGATTTACTGATCAGTAAAGGATAACAGAAGATTCGTCAGTAATCTGGGAGAGATCACATTATCACATATGCGATCTTCTCGGTCTGTATAAAAGTCTCTGAACAATCAAATGGCCGGAAGTGAAAAATTGTTTGGCAGGGATTGGTCACTTCTCTATGAAAAATATTTTCCGTATTTCTACCCAAACTTTAGCTTACGGTACAGTATGTTGCCCAGTATCCGGACGGTACCAGTATCCGGACACTTGAAACAAAAACTCAATTTTTGAGGCGCCCTTTTCAGTTCTCGGTAAACGAAGTATTTCGAATGAAAGCTGAACATTTCAGCTTTAAGATGAAAGTTTTGGCGATTTAAAACTTGCGAAACAGTCGCAGAACACGCCGTTCTGTTCAGGTGAATAAACTTTTCATGGCTAATATTTACGCGTTTTACTGCGCAGTAAAGTTAGTGCTGGTCAGAAAAGGGAGGGTAGTGTGTGATATTTTCAAAGAAACTGTTTTATTTTTAAAGTGAAGATACTTAAGGAAGTCAGGTTTTCAGAAAGTTTATTAATTCTTCTTGAAATTCGATTTGTTTGGAATAACGGAAGCCAAAAACATTCACCAAGTTTTGATGTCATGTGCCCAGTATCCGGACAGTTTTTTCTTTGCTGTACAGAATCGATGAATTAGCTGTGTACGTTCTCCGGATAAGATTTATTTCATATCAGTGACTATAATTAAAGCTTAGGATATATGATATAGTCGTAAAATGTAACTCTACTCAACTCCGTATGGAAATTTTCTTCACTCATTCAGAGGCGACTTGATTTCGCGTGCGCCGCTTGTTTCGCGTGACTGCATTTTCTATATATAACTGAAAGCGTCCGAGTTGAACCTGGAATTCTCATACTTTCTCAAGTTGGGACTGCTAGAATGGGGTTGCAATGGTCTAAAAAATGTCACAAAGGGATTGAGAGATGTGAAAGAAGGAGGAAATAGTGCTAGAAAAGCAGGCTTATTGTGCGGACTGAGCATGAAGAAATCAACACTGCAGGTCAGACTAAATAGGAGAGTGACCTTTGACCGTTGGGTTGAGGTCCCTTCCCCAAGCTTTCTTTTAAATAAAAAATGAAGAAAGAAAGTCGTTTGCAGATTGGCTAATTGAGCTTGCAAACTGCGGTTTCGGCATGTCCACGGATGCCTTCCTCAAATCAGTGAAAACGTTCCTAGACAAAGAAGTGAGAAATTATACCATTTTTAAAACAGCCGCTCGCGTTCCCCACCATACCCCCGTCATTTGTTATGTTTTATTTCACGATGCTATTGTAGGTTATATTTTCGGAATCGATTGCCAGACTACTTTGCAAGTGCAAGAGAAGCTTATAAGTCGCTTGCCTGTCGAAATTTATGTACAATGACGTTGTTATTGTTGTGTCCGGATACTGGGCCAGCTGTCCGGATACTGGGCAACATAGGAGCTCTACAAAAATATTTATTTCGCGATGGAAAGAAAGGCAAAAAAGTTAAACTGTCTTTCATCATATTGAGGACTACATAGATTTTCTCTGGGCCAAATTTCAGAGCTCTTGCGATTAACAAAGGAAAGTTATTGCAATTTTAAACTGAAGTGTCCGGATACTGGGCAACATACTGTAATAGAAAAGAGAACGGCAGGGTTCGTTCCCGGTTTGTTGAAACTCGATATTTTCAATCCGTGGAGCAGCTAGCCTCCAACGCGCGTCGAAGTGCCAAGGAGATCTGCGAAGCAGCTCGTTATCATCCATCCCAAACAATATCTGCCAGGATCTCGTAAACTGCCAAAATGTTTGCTGAAGATCGCGAAAAACATGGGCTAAGCGGTAAGATGAGAATTTCTGTTTGTGAACTTTCGCCAATGAAAATCCTGTCGCCGGTCCGGTTAATGGGGAAGACACAGTCCAGCGCGAAACGCGAGAGACGTGCGTGGAACGCGGGACGAGGGGGAGAGAGAAAACATTCTGCAGGGGAGAAATAGTAAAAACAGTGATTGAATTCATCTAGCGTGGTTGCGTTCTTATTTCACGTGATGAATGAGTTTCAGATAAGCCATTGATAGGAGAAATTTGATGCTGATCACTCTTAAGGCCGTTAAAGGCTTTACCGGATTAACCAATCAAGAAGTCAAAATCCTTTCACTTAGTGTGTCTTCATTTGCCGCCTTCTTTCGCGAGGAAGAGCAACGAAGAAATACGATGTTGAAAAAGGAAAGTCTTATGAAAACAAGATGGATCAGTTTAGGTCTCTGGGAAACTGCTGCTGAAACAAAAAAAACCGAATCTAATAATTGTTTTATTATACATTGTTTTGAAGAAAACAACGACAAACACACCGTCGTAAGGAACCTGAATTGATATAATTGTTGTTGGTAATCATCAAGAGCCATAATAGGACAGCTGTCCTATTATGGCTCTTGGTAATCATGCATTGCGGCCTGCGCAACCTACAGATTAGTCACCTAATAGCAGAGAACTAACTAATCTGTAAGTTACGCTGATTATAGGCTCTTAGCCAAAGAGAAGACAGATAATGAGTACAATGTACAATAATGAGAAATAGGGCCCCCGACTTCCTTTACACGTGTATTTCTTATATGGTATGTACAACTCAAAATCTTTAAAACTCGCCAAAACGGCCTCCAAATGACTCTAGAAGCAAACAGAAAGGACAAAACACAAACACGAGGTTTAGTTGTTTTTATTTCGATTATTTTTAGTACGTATTTTGTTTATTCCCAGAAATTCTTTTATAAAATTCTAGCATAATTATTGGCCTATACGAGCACTTCTGGAAGCATATAATGCTACTTTTGCGAGCACAATTTACTTAAGGCTACAATATATAGTTTAAACTTAATCTCGTTCAGAAAAGATTGAACTCTTTCTTTCAGTTGATGAAGTTCCTCTTCTGTCAGAATTTTTGTCTATTCAGAGTATTTCTTGAAGGGATTTGGATCTTCTTCCACTAAACATTAACTTTCTGTGACCACAAGAGACTAGGAAATAGATAAGCTGACAGGGAAAGAGCAAATAAGAATCTGTTTAGTATATAACTAGACCTTCAGATTCGAAAATTGTGCGGCATAACTAGGAAGAAAATTTCTATCATAGAAGTATAGGGTCCATTCAATAATGACAGGCTGGCCAGTTAGAGAGCAGTGGAAAAGCCAAGGCAAAATGGAACGCCAATTTAATGTTAAAGACAGTTACTGACTGAAGAGAAAACAACGAAATTAAAGTCAAAACTTTTAGAAATGACAGTCCGTTTTTTGTTGTCGAGTTCGCTTCTCTAATCACATGCCTGACGTGAGCGCGCGGGCTCCTACCGTGGAGAATGAGGACGCTCTCAACCCTTTTTCTAAAACAAGGTGAAAATCAGAAATGGCAGAAGTCGATTATAGTAATCGGCCCCGACGAAGGGAACACAGCGAAAACGCGCGGAATGACTGGAATGCTCAATTTGCCGCTTTTACAAGTCTTTTTTAGATCTGCACGTCGGAGTCGTAATTATCACCACATTGTTGTCTTTAAAAGCCGCAAAAGTTTCACATTGCCAGCCAATAAAAGAAATAAAAGATCTAGGTGTTTTTAATTTGGAATGCAACATTAAATCCAATACAATAAGAAAAAACGAAAAGAGTAGCCTTGGGGCACATACTCAACCAAACGCGCCACGACTTCCTGCTAACCCAGGCTTTTCATTTAGATGTGGAAAAACTATGCATAGCTAGTGCAAAGGAATTCGCCAAAGGAAAGAAGCGTTTTCGTTTGTATTACATGTAAGCGGCCAATATCTCGGCTAGTTAAAGAGCAAGCAAACAGAACCAGACACTTTTAGTAAAGTTCAAACGTTGTCATCAGGGTCGCTAAGCAACGCGCATGTCACAAACCTAAAAGATAGGGCGACGTAAAGAGATATAGACGCAAAGTTGTTTGTTTGCAATTTAATAATCGATAAGTTACAGAGCTATCGAAAATTTTAAAACAGTTTTAAATGGATAATGGGCGATATCATAGTTTATTCACCTCTTCAGTACAACTGCGAGAAAAAATAAATATGAATTCCCCTGTACTACCCCCTCAAAAATTAATCGTTCCTCAGGAATTTTCCCTCCAGCTAGGTTTCAATTTGTTTCCTGTAGTGTGGGTGCATATTTTTGTAGTATACTCGTACACTACAAAACTCGTAGCATACGAGCCTTTCCGTAGCATTTCTCTCCGTAGAAAATGTCATGAGTTTAAGGCAGCACAAGCATTTTAAACATTTCCACTTTTACGAAATGTTACGTTTGGGGAAGGTGTAAGCTTGCTTCAGCGAAGACTCCAGACGGTTCAATGGTCAGTCGTCCGGTAAGTTTCAAAGTCTTTATCTTTATCTTTATCTCTATCGCCCCTTTATATGAGACGTTTCTAAAAGCTCTTATATGTTGTACTTTCATGAGGTGTGCAGATTTCAAGAACGGGTCCAAAATTTGCGCTCCGCGACCGCGATCAGATTTATATACTAATACGACAGTCGACGAGTGATATAATTTGAAAAGCCGAAATTTACAGTAACAGTTCATACGATCGACGCTCAAGTTGGGTAATGTACCGGGAGAAAAGCCGTCAAATGACGATCGGGCAGGTGACTATTTACCTTTATATGAACGAATCAAGCTTTATTAGCCCTACCCGGAGGTATGTGAAAGTGTTACTGATATCGCAAAGGATATGCATAATCTTTGTCAAAGGAAACTTTACGCTCGACCAAACATTTAAATTGAAATGACGAAACTTTTGGGTTACGCACTAAACATAGCAGTAACTCTTTGGTGTACCAAGAGACCGCGGTAAGTGGAATGGAAGTATGAATAGTTGGTATTCCATTGCTTCTATTTAATATGGTGCCGTGATATCTATGAACAAAACAAGTTTAGGCTGGTTAACAGAGTCATGCCGGACCTGTCGTGTCTTTGGAGTTACGAAACGAGAACGCCTATAGATGTTCTTCTTAGTTCATGTCAGGAAAACGAACTAAACTCACTTGAAGGGATACTTAGGCATCAAATTTCACTTCCTTGTTCTTTGAGTGTTATTGATATTGACAATATTAGGCCTGTTTCAGACGTCGTGCTACTGCTGTGCTCTGCTGGCTCGACTGTAGCTCTACTGTAGCACAACTCTAGCACGACTTGGTTTTAGACGTCGAATTTCATTCAGTCGCGAATAGAAAGGTTGTTGCCGAAAACAAAACACAAAAATAAAGAAACGATTTTGCAAACTTTTAAATGTATTCTAATGTATTCATAATTTATGAATTGAGTTCGGCACGACAGTAGCACGACTTGGTTTTAAACGCCGCGCCACTGCCGTGCTAAAGTCGAACTTAATTCGATCAATTTAGTTCGGCACGGCAGTAGGACGACGTTTGAAACGGGCCTTACTTGTAAAAAACCGATGCCGTACAAAAAGGAGCTTCTTGTAATTTTAGGGAGGTGAAAAAAGTTAAAGAGTATTAAACGCCATTGTATGATTTCTCGTATGTTATAACAATCGTCTAGAACCTTATAATTTGACTGATGACGGGCCAGTTTTATCTTTCTTGTGAATTAAGACACAACGGTAGAACAACTCTTTGAATTGCAAGTGATTGGACTCGACAATTTCTGTCGTGTTTACGTTATGGTTGGTACAGCCTTGAGTCAAACGTCGTGCTTAAATTGCACCGATTGTGTTCGTAAATCTCTAATTTCATAAGCCCCTTGCAAACGGATGCAACATTGTTGATTGTCATATGTTGCGTCCTTTCGCACACTCTGTTGCACGTTGTTGCGTGTTGTTGGGAGTTGTTGCGCAACGTTTAACAGCAGTAAAACTTCTGAGCTGACAACTCTCAAAATTTCTTTTGTTCTGTGATCGCCGAAGCGTAGCCCAACAATGTTGGATCCGTAATGCAAAGCTCTTCCAACATTGTTAGGGCCACTCACGCGCATTGAAGTCTTGTGGTCTGTATCCCTCCCACGCCGATGCACTGCAGGTCCTAACATTGTTGGGAGTTGTTGCATCCGTTTGCACACCACTGCCAACACGAACGCAACAACTCACAACTTTGTTGGCCCAACAATGTTGGGAGTTGTTTCGTTCTTTTGCAGGTAGCTTAACCTTTCTCAACGTGAATCTGTGCCCGAACAAAGCTTAAACAAGCTGTAATTCGTCCTTTGTTGAAAAAGCCGAGTCTTGATCATCAAGAATTTAGGAACTTTCGGCCGATCTCTAACCTCACGTTCTTCTCCAAACAAAGAGTACTTATTTGAGTCCAGTAATTTGGTCAAACTTGTGTCAAGGGAGGAGTCAGAGAAGCTAAATCTAACACGTTTTTAAGAATCAAAATTTTAGGCCTTCAATATGTAACTACAGAGCACTGTAAGAATTGCGATGTGTCTAATAATAATAATAATTCCGTTATTTACTTTAGGCAATATTTATAGCACTAATGCTGTGACGATAGGTTTTGCCCTTCCAAGGGCAAATCGGGGAAAAGAGCGTTGAGGGAATTTTGACGGCGTATGAAAAACAAGGGGGGGGGGGGACTAACTCAGTCTTCTGTAACTCGCTTGGCTAGTAAGACTGGAATTCGTCACTGTTCCATAGCACTACTGGTCTGCTACAACTGAAAACAAGACAGCACTCAAACTTGGACTTCAACAGTTTAATCTTCAGCTCGTGGACGTAAATCACACAGGCACGTAATCGAAAAACAGGGATAACAGTGCTCCATTTATATAGACCGATCAACTTATTACAACATCACAAAACAAATGGAAAGGAGGCTGAATAAAATCAGCTGAAAACTGGAAACTAATCTGGATAAATTCAGCTTTAAATTTCAAAAGCTAAACTAAATGACTCAAAATTAAATGTCAGTCAAGCAATTGAATTTCGGAAAAGTTTAAAGATTGAGCAGCCACTAAAGCTGTGGAAAAGAATTGGAGTTTCCTTTGCTCAGGATATAATTTTGTAATTCACGTGCCTTTAAATAAATTTAAAACCTATTGAAATCCACATTTTCCCCCAAACTATGCTAGTCGGGCCGGGCAAATGCCTGAAACAAATAATTCAAATCAAACATAACAGGTTAAGAATCCCAACTCTTCTAGCTAAATTTACATTTGCGATTAGCAGGACTGTAAATTAATTTGATATCTTAGGCATCTTAATGTATCCTAGTTAAGTACAGTAGAGTGATTTTAACTAACCCGTGAAATAGGTAATAGAATAATACGCACTATTATGTACTAATTCCATTGTCTTCTTCTGTTTACCAGTAGCTATTTTGCAGTAGTTGTCAGTATACACGGGTCAAGTAAAATCAACCTGTGTAACTTGGTGTGTAGTAAGTTAGGTGTCCCCAGTTAGTTTACAACTGTGTAAAGTAAGTAACTATTATTATTATTATTATATTTTATGTGAATACTAATTTTCTTAACACAGGAGCTGTGGTAAGAGGTTCAGTTAAAGCTACAGGCGAAATGAATGTCACACCATCCTGTAAAGAAAACAATGGAGGACAATGAAACTGACAATGACTTTGAGGAGGACACTTTAAGAGGTGTATATAAACTGAATAAAACAATTTTAGTATAGTAGTTGACGTTATAACATAGGTTTCAGTATTAATCGTTATTTGGAGAACAAGTACAGAATTTTTAAGATTGTTTAGTGTCGTTCTTGGGAAGCCTGTGTAGCTAGCGGTTTGTTTGTAGTCGTAGCCTTTTCCAGGCGTTGAGATAGTGGAGTGCTGTGCAAAGTAAGAGAGCGGAAGACAAATAAGGAGATGAGGATGTGGGGGAGAAAATCTCACCCCCTTCCCCACCCCATCGCCATTTTTCCTGCGCACATCTCTTCGCCCCGTACCCCCTGTAGAGCGCGCACTTTTTCCCCATTCCCCTCGCGGCTCCTCCGCTCGTTCAGAGGCACGCTCCCCACTGAAAACCGCCAGCCACTCAGGTTAGATTGACTACCATAATCTTGCCGCATAAAACGTCTCTTAATAGCCGGAAAGAATGAACAAGTTTGTCAGAAACTGTGAGTAAGGAAGGTACGAACAGTTACAGTTCGTTCCCGGTACGTGCTTCCTATCTCAGACAGTTGACCAGTCTTATTTTAAACCCAGTAACGAACCTTGGTCGCGGGGTAGAGTTATACTAAGCCTTAACTAAAATATGGAATGGCATGTTTACTTTAACACTGACTATCCACCATCTCTTTGAAGTCTTATATCACTTGAACTCTCGATCATTTATACTTTTAATCACTCAATAAAAATAGTTCTAGGTTGTTGAATATGGCATCAGCCTACGCCCCCCATACGAACGCTGTACAGACTGTAAGGAAAGGGCAGGGGTCACTGTGCAAGTAAAGGGATCGACGAAGGAGTCCAAGACATGCATCTTGCGTTTGTCTAGGCGAAAATTTAACCAGTTCAGTTCTTTTCTCAATCAACAACAATGAAATTTTTTTATCAATTAAAGGGGTAAGTTTGCAAGCGAACTGTGGTGTTGCGTCGGTAGAGAAGTAAAACTTATACAAAGAGTTAGTTCTATCAACTGAGCTGATAATTAAAGCAAATCGGCAACGTAGAAAGATCAAGATAAACAGGAGTTCAGAAGACGCGCAACAGAAGAAGGCGATTCAGGAACTATAAACCCAAAATCTTAATTTTGGTTGTAAGTAAACTTCAAACAAAAAGCGGGCTTATTAACCAGGGTCTTCACTGGCTCTTCACTACATTTTGTATGTCAGACAACATTTTCAGTTTAAATTAATCTCTGGCCTCCGCTACTTCAATTATATACTAGCAAAACTTTGTATGTATTTTTGTTTCAGTAATTGCGGAGACTAGCAAAAATGCTGGCAATGATGCATTTCATAAGGGTGATTTTGTCAAAGCTATAAACTTGTACACAGAGGGAATTGAAGCGAAATGCAAGGATGGGGATCTGAATGCCAAATTGTATAACAACAGGGCATCAGCTCACTATCACTTGGGTAAATATCATATTCATATTTACGCATTGTCAACATAGCACTAAATTCCGTATCCAACATTCCATTCTCTAATTTGCATCCCAGCCCTGAGACACTTCTGGAATCTCTATGTGACTGTCTCTATTGCCCCATTGGTGAATCAGGATAAAGTCTTAGGTGGGCGAACTTTTTAAAGCTTAAGAAAGTAACAGAGGGGGAAGGGGGGTGGGTTCTCGATTGACCTCGATAACATCGTCTCAAAGCAGATAGTGCCTGGTCTCTTGATTTACGTGTTCATTAATAGTTCAATTCACGCATGCATCTTCCCGTTCCGCCGATGTATACTGCGCTGCATTCGCAAGGAATCTTATAAAATACTCAATGTTGCTTCCTTGAGTTACTTAAAGATCCTTAGATCGCACAGAATGTTCAGTGTCGTGTCGAATATGAAGACAGCACGGGTGTACCCATCGTTTAAATGCAAGACAGGCACTGGCCCTCAATTAAGAGACCCCTAGATAAAGCATAAATTTTAAGTGCTGATTTTTCTTCGAGCTGATAGGGCAATTCTTTCTAATCTACTTGAGGATTATTCTTTTTAATTCACGAATAATAAGAAAAAATTCTTGACAGAGATGTGATGGCGAACGTTGAGTCTGCTCAGTACCTTAGAAAGATGATTTGTCAATTAGTGACACAGGCAGCTCAGAGGGAAAAATCCGAGTACTCCCAATACTCCCTGGGTCACTGATGAAAATCATCTTTCTCATGTATTAAACAGGCTCCAAATTCACCATCACATCTGTATCATTGCGCATAAGTACATATCAACATTCTTGACCTAGCAGTATGCAGGTTATTTGTCACTTGAACCTTGTTCGGTAGTGCCCTTACCTTCCACGAGTCTCTTGTAGCTTAGTGGTAGAGCATCTGGACTAGCAGACAGAAGGCCATAGCTTCGACTCCTATTGGGCCGCCTGTATGCGTCACTGATTGAAAAGTCATCTTTCTCAAAAAACTCTTTTTCAGAGAATTACCATGATTGTCTGAGTGACGTAAAAGCTGCGACAGCACTACAGCCGTCTTATCTCAAGGCGATTATCAGAGGTAAAATGAATCCCAGTAGAAAACCTGAATTTTTTCTCCATTTAATCATTTCGAATGAGTCGCCTTTTTTTCCCTAGGGGCGAAGACCTGTTTAAAGTTGAAGCAGCTCGAAGAAGCCATCATCTGGTGTGATAAAGGAATAACCGTATCCTTTCTATGCTATCGTCTTCACAGACCTTGTTTTTCTCTTTCTTGACATCTTAGTGTGCGAGTACGAAAATAAAACCGCAGGGGATTTATTAAGCCGCAACGCACTGGATAAATTACTCAAAAAGAAGCAAGGAAAAAGCGTGTGCGGACAGACTATCTTTAATTAGACTGATCACATACAAATCCCTGACCGCACAGATTATTATTACCTCCTTTACTTTTACTAGGTCAATGCCTCTTTTTTTATGTTTTGGTAAATTAAGCTTGAATCGATAAAATTGGTTTAAATATTAAGTGAATTTTTGGTGTCGTGTTCTGACGTCTCACACAAAGAGTAGCGTACAAAACGGATTATCGAACCATTTTAAAATAGAGCTCAACTGATGCTGCCGCTACTCAAGCGTGTCATTCCTGCCTCTGCCGTCAGCCTAGTTTAAGGTAAAAGAAGATTATCTCCTCTCCTCTTAACTCTTGCAAGATTGACAAGGACAATAAGGATCTGTTGGAGATAAAGACTTGTTCTGTCATACAGCGCGAAAAGATTTTAACACAGGAAGGCGATAAAGCAGCAAAAGAGGAGAACGATTCACGAACAAACCAAACATCTCTTGATTGCACAAGTAAGTGTTAAAACTCCAAACACAAAGCGTACCTATAACGAGCGTCTTTATTTCAAGTGGTTCTACAATTTATCAGCCGCATCAGATGTTATGTTTTGTTCTCTGGCCTTGACTCATTAAAATACTGGCAGAACTCAAAACTCTGTTTGTATTTTTATTTCAGCCATAGCAGAAACTCACAAAAATGCCGGCAATGATGCATTTAGTAAACATGATTTTGTCAAGGCTATCAACTTGTACACAGAGGGAATTGAAGTAAAATGCAAGGATGAGGATCTGAATGCCAAATTATACAACAACAGGGCATCAGCGCATTTTCACTTGGGTAAAGTATCATTCATATATTATATTTACTCAACGCATTGTCAACACTGCATGTTGTTCCGTATCCAACATTCTATTGTCTATTCTGCATCTTTGCCCTTTTACGTTGAGACACTCCTGGAATCCCAATTCAACTGTCTCTCTTGGCCCTATTGAAGTTATATATCAGGGTCGGTGAAGTCTTATGTCCTATTATCATGCATCTCTTGGTTATGCGGACGATCTTGTTAAAGCCTAAGGGAGAAACAGTGGGGGAAGGGGGATGGGTCTCTATAGAGAATTTTAACTTCATCTCCCAAAGAGCGTAGTGGCTGGTCTCATTTGCGTGTTCATTAATAGGTCAAGTCTTCTTGACCCTTGTAAATATATTAGAAAGACGATTTTTTAATTACTGAAACAGGCGGCTCGGAAGGAAGAATCCGAGTACTCCCAATACCTCCTGTGCCACGGATCGTAAAACCATCTTTCTCATATATTCAACAGACTTCAAATTACCCATCACATCTCTATCATTGCGCATAAGCACGTATCAACATTCTAGTCCTAGCAGTATGTGCCAGGGTAATTTGTCACTTGAACCTTGCCTTGGCTCCCACTAGTCTCTTGTAGCTTAGTGGTAGAGCATCCGGACAAGCAGCCTGAAGGTCGTAGCTTCGACTCCTATTGGGCCGCCTGTATGCGTCACTGATTGAAAAGTCATCTTTCTCAAAAAACTCTTTTTCAGAGAATTACCATGATTGTCTGAGTGACGTAGAAGCTGCGACAGCACTACAGCCATCTTATCTCAAGGCGATTATCAGAGGTGAAAAAGAATCTCAGTAGAACACCTGAATCTTAAAATTTCCTCCATTAAATCATTTCAAATGAGTCGACTTTTTTTCACTAGGGGCGAACACCTGTTTAAAGTTGAAGAAGTTTGAAGAAGCCGTCATCTGGTGCGACAAAGGATTAGACGTATCCTTTCTTTATCCTGTTCAGAGACATTCTATTATCTCTTTTGAGATCTTGTGCGCGTACGAAAATAGAAACTGTGGGGGATTTATTAAGCCGTAACGCACTGGATAAATTACTCAAACCAAAAGAAAAGAAAAAAATTGTGTGGACAGGCTATCTTTTCTTAGAGGAGTAAATACAATCGCTGACCGGAAAATTGTTACGTCGCAATCCGTTATCTTACTAGGTCAATATCTCTTAATACAGTCGGTTGGTTTGTTGGTGACGCGTCCTGACGTTTCACACAAAGAGTAGCCATTTATACACACGTACAAAACGGATTACCGATGAACCATTTCTCCAATTTCTGCTGCTGCTACTACCACTGCCGCCAGCCAAGATTATTATTATTTTCTACCCCCTTAACTCTTGTAAGATTGACAAGAACAACCAGGACCTGTTGGAGATAAAGACTTGTTCTTCCATAGAATGCGAACACATTTTAACACAGGAAGGTGATAAACCAGCAAAAGAGGAGAGCAATCCACCAACAAACCCAAGACCTCTTGATCGCACGAGTAAGTAAAATCCAAACAGAAAGCGCACTTGTAATCATGGCCACGGTCTTTACGTCAAGTGGATGTACAATCTCTGGCTTTCACTCATTTATACTGGCGGAACTCAAAACCACTCTGTTTGTATTTTTATTTCAGCTATGGCAGAAACTCACAAAAATGCCGGCAATGATGCATTTCTTAAAGGTGATTTTGTCAAGGCTATAAACTTGTACACAGAGGGAATTGAAGTAAAATGCAAGGATGAGGATCTGAATGCCAAATTATACAACAACAGGGCATCAGCGCATTTTCACTTGGGTAAAGTCTCATTCATATTATATTAACTCAACGCATTGTCAACACTGCATTTTGTTTCGTATCCAACATTCTATTGTCTATTCTGCATCTTTGCCCTTTTTCAGTTCCGCCAATTTTTGCTTCGCTTTATTCGCAAGAAATCTTATAAAATACTCACAATCTTGCTTTCATGGGTCACTAAACTTTTCTTAGATCACATTAAGTGTTTCGTCGTGTCGGATTTGATAACACCTCGAGCGTACGCAAGGTTTACGTAGAGTCTATAAAGTAGACGCTGCCACCTCAGTTTGTGCGGATTATTCTTTTTAATGTAGGTGTAATAAAACTCTTTTTCAGGAAATTATCCAGATTGTCTAAGTGACGTAAAAGCTGCGACAGCACTACAGCCGTCTTATCTCAAGGCGATTATCAGAGGTGAAAATGAATCTCAGTTGAAAACTTGAATTTTTCCTGAAACAATGATTTTAAACGAGTCTGCTTTTTTTTCACTAGGAGCGAACACCTGTTTAAAGTTGAAGCAGTTTGAACAAGCCTTCATCTGGTGTGATAAAGGACTTGCCGTATCCTTTCTTTAGCCTGTTCACAGACCTTCTATTTTCTCTTTTCAGATCTTCTAGTGTGCGTACAAAAAATAACCCCCGCGTGGGATTTATTAATTTGTAATGCACTGGACAAATAACTAGTTCGTTAACGTACGTGTGGGCAGGGTATCCTTTCTTAGAAGAGTAAATACAAAAACCCTGACCGCGTTATTAATACTTCAATTTTTACTACGTCAACGTTTTTTTTAGTATTTTTCATCTTCGTTATCATTATCCTTTCTTGGATCTGCTGTCAAAGTCTTTAACGGTTCTTTTTTTTCCAGGAGGCCTTATGTGGGCCTCTCGGATAACATGATCTAGGTCTTGATAACTGAAGACGGATAACTTCTGCCCGAGGTGTTTATAACTCAGACAACTAAAGACTAAGTAAGAAAATCAGTCTTGCGGGGCAAATTCGTTCCGGAAAAAATTCAGAGTTTGCAGTTTCAGCAAAAAATTAGCCTGGGACCAGGCTCTGAAGTGGGGGGAAAGGCAAAACACGAAGTGAAATGGGAAAAATAAATATCGGCTAGCGAAGTGCGTCGATGGGTGGGCCGGGGAGGGAGGACGGGCGGTGCCACAGCCACCCTTTCTCTACCCAGACTACCGCTGGGCTCGCTTCGCTCGCCGATTTTTTTCTCCTCTTCCCCCAATGCGGAGCCTGGTCTCAGGTTACAAGAGTTGGAAAAGCATAACAATAAAGAAACCGAGAAAAAAATGTCGTATAAACAGTGTATAGAAGCAATATTGCATTGTTTGCATACGGCTATATGATCGCCCGTTTTGCATTTATTTAGTAGCATGCTCGTTTCTCGCTTCGACTCAGATGTTTTGTTTGAATGATGAAACTTAGCTGGTGCTCATAATAAGGGCCCGTTTAAAGGATAATGTTACACAAAATCCCACTTCTCACAAATTCACGAACAACAAAAATACTTGAATTGAAGACACCTCAACGATTCCTCCCGGCTGGCGAATCCGGCGCTCTCGGAACCATTCAGGTTTCAAGGATTTGGGAATTTTTCTCGCTTTGACAAATAGCCATGTGGGGCTTGTTTTTTTCACGTCTATTCACTCAGTGTTTTTAAGGGGTGATTCTTGTTACAAACCTTGTTTCTCGTCTATTTCAAAATGTTTTCTTCTAAATCTGACCAAGATTGCATCCAATCAAAAAGTGGCTCCATAATTAAAAGGTTGGCATTTTTGGATGATTTCTTGACCGTTTTCAACGAATAAAAGTGGGGGATGTAAAATTGGAAAATACTGGATGTAACATATCAAGCATGACATGCAGTGTTTCATCACCAGATGAAACGCCGAGAAGAGAGTTAAAAATACGACGCGCAGCAGAGTATTTTTGACGAACTTCGAGGTGTTTCATCTGATGATGAAACACTGTGTCGAATGCCTGATATTGCTTCTCAAACCTAAATGATTTTAGAAAGAGAAATCAAGGATGCAAAAATGAGCAGTTTTTCATCTTATTTCCAAACACTCGTTAAACATCATTTTCTTTTGCATTTTCATTATGAATTATTAATGAGTTTGAGAAATGAGGATATGAAGGAAATAATGAGCAGGCAAATACAAGATGGTCCACCATCACCACAAGGTTCCCCTGAGCTCATTAGTGGATCAACTGGTTTACGTTTATACCGTTTTCTACTGGTAATTCTTTCATTCCTAAATCAACCTCATTCCCACCAAAGAAAAGAAACAGCTGGAATCCATCCATATCCATATCGTTTACCAAGACCATTGTAGGATACTTTCTAAAACCTGTTTATCGAACTTGACAGTCGTAAGATTGACAATGTTAACAAGGAGCTCTTTGAAATAAGGAGGATAAGCCAAAGGGATACTCCAAAGTCAGAAGCTAACACTGTGAAAAAAACGGTTAGTGGTCGATGCTCTTATATTTTGGGCTTACGGGTAAATGTTTAGCCAAAAGAATTTGTGAAAAGGAAATAAATACGTTTTGAAGTAAGTATACACATGGTTCTGATAAGAAAGACATTCAGATGAGACTTACCTCAAACCTACCCCGTTTGCATGGTTGGGCACACAATTTTCAGAGACGTACGTAAAAACCAGCAAACTTATACAATCAAATGTCTGAATAATATCTGAACAAAGAGCAATTCAATTTTACAGGTGTTTACTCCATATCAATCATCAACGAAATTGCCCAAAGAAAACCAACCCGTTGAAACTAAAGATGATGAATTTGCAGGCGTCATGAGCAATATTGATGATGTGCCAAATCTTTCTGGGAATGTCAACGACATCGTTAACTTTTACCGCCAAAAGCTCAGTAGTGCCAAGCATGCAGGAGATAAAGCTAGTGAAGGAGCTGTGTGTAGTACTCTTGGTTTGTTTTTTCTGAGTCATGGCGATTACAAGAAAGCCATAGAGTATAACGACCTTGCTCTTGATATTTTTAAAGAATTGGGCGACAAGAGACAGGAAGGATATGTGTATCATCGTCGTGGTGATGTTTTCCAAAAGCTCGGTGAATTCGAAAAAGCCATGGAGTACAAAAACCGTGCACTCAGTATAGCAATAGATCTGGGAGAAAAACCTTTGGAAGGTTACGCTTGCTACGGTCTTGGCAATGCTTTTCGAGGTTTGTGTAGTTATGATAAAGCAATAGGCTTCTACAAGCGTTGTCTTAGTGTCGCCAAAGGTCTGTCTGACAAGACAATCAGATGGTCATTAGAAAGTATTGCCTATAGCAATCTCGGACATGCTTTTGACTTCCTTGGTGACTACAAACGAGCTGAAACTTACCACAGGCTTCACCTTAGCAATGCCAAAGAGAAGAGAGACAAGTCTAGAGAGGCAGAAGCGTACAGAGGTCTTGGCAACGTTTTTCAGGGCCTTGGGAATTTCAGAAAAGCCCAAGAGTATTACAGCTCAAGCCTTAGCATTGCCAAAGATGAACGAAACAAAGAAGCAATGGTACACTCATATGCCGGTCTAGTAAACGCTCTCCGCAACCTTGGAGATACAAAAAATGCACTAAAATACTCTAATCTGCATCTTAACTGCGCCAAAGAATTAGGAAACAAATATAGGGAAGGAGATGCGTATTGCGACCTTGGACATATTTATGAAAGTCTTGGAGACTTCAAGAAGTCCATAGAATACTTCAAACGCTACCTTGAAATTGCCAAAGATTTTGGAGATTCGGAAGGAGAAGGGGCCGCGTATGGTGGCCTTGGCAATGCTTTTTACAGCCTCGGAGATTTCGAAAAGGCAGTTTACTATCACAGCCAACATCTTGATATCGCTAAAAATATTGGAGATAAGGAAGGGGAGGCGTTTGCGAATGGCAATCTCGGCAACGTTTATCTCAGTCTTGGTGATTTGAAGAAGGCCAACTACTACTTACTTACGCCGCCTCAGTATTGCAAAAGACCTGGGAGATAAGGCAGGGGAAGGACGTGCGTATGGCTATCTCGGCCGCACTTATGAACATATTGGCGATTACGACAAAGCCATGGTCTATAACAACCGGTGTCTCTGTATTGCCCAAGAACTTGGAAACAAGGCTGGGGAAGGGGTTGCCTGTGGCAATTTAGGCAGAGTTTCCCAAAGTATTGGTGACTACATGAAAGCCATAGATTGGCACAAACAACAGCTTAGAATTGGTAAAGAAATAGGAGACAAAGAAATGCTAGGCATAGCCTACTATAATATTGGACATTGCTTTGAGATGCTGAAACGTTTACCTGAAGCACTCGAAAGTTACCAAACAAGCGTTAAAGTGTTTAATGAAATGAGAAGTCTCCTCCAGTCTGAAGATCGGTGGAAGATTGGATTTCGGAACGAATATAACATTGCTTACACAGGTCTCTGGAGAGTTTTGTTAAAACAAGAAAAGATTGGTGAAGCTCTGGCTGCTGCCGAAGAAGGTCGGGCCCAGTCACTAGCTGATCTTATGACATCCCAGTATGGTTTAAAAGAATGTCAATACAAAGGAAAACCACTAGAAGAACAGGAATTTGGCATGTTGAACCACACTTTATCAAGTACCATATTCTTAGCTGTAGACGTGGTCGAAAACAAAGTAAATATCTGGGTAATTTCAAAAGAGAAACCCCTACTTCACCAAGAGAAGACACTTGGCCGTCATTGTACAAAGTTTTCAGCTGAAACATTACAGTCCTTGATTCAATTTGCCTACGAAAAGATTGGTGTTCGTGCTAAAGCTAACTGCGAAAATCGATCTTTAGATGTGTTTCGCGAAAACTGCTCTGCTGTGGAGCGGTCATCCAAAAAGAGCTCAGAGCCTATTCTCCAAGAAGATATTCATCCCTTGTCAGCTTTGTACAGCTACGTGATTGCCCCGATATTAGATCTAATTGATGGCGATGAGCTAATAATTGTTCCGGATGGTCCATTATGGCTTGCTCCGTTTGCTGCATTACTGAATCCGTTTTCCAAATACCTGTATGAATCATTCAAAGTCAGAATAATTCCTTCACTAACAAGTTTGAAAATTATTGCTCATTGTCCAAAATTCCACAGCAGTAGTGGAGCTCTAGTTGTAGGAGATCCAGACATGAGTGAAGTTACCAACAGACAAGGAGATCGGATCCTGGAGCAGCTTCCTTTTGCCAGACAAGAAGCACAGATGATCGGACAGATTCTTAATACGGCACCTCTCACTGGAAAATTAGCCACCAAATGTGAAGTGCTAAAACAGATTAGTTCGGTTGCCGTAGTACACATTGCTGCACATGGACGCATGGAAACCGGAGAGATAGCGTTGAGCCCGAATCCTGAAAGGGAATCACAAACCCCTTCAGAAGAGGATTACATGTTGACAATGGCAGATGTGATGAGTGTGAAGCTGCGAGCCAAGCTAGTTGTACTTAGTTGCTGTCACAGTGGTCGGGGAGAGATCAAAGCTGAAGGCGTGGTCGGTATTGCACGTGCCTTTATTGGTGCCGGTGCTCGTTCTGTTCTGGTGTCCCTGTCGGCCATCGATGACGAAGCCACCTTGGAGTTCATGAAAAGCTTCTACCACAACCTTGTTAAAGGGCGAAGTGCGAGCGAGTCCCTTAACCGCGCAATGAAATGTCTCAGAGAATCCGAGAAGTTCGGCGATTTAAAATACTGGGCGCCTTTTACACTTATAGGCGATGACGTCACTCTCGACAAACAAGAAGAAATCAGGGTCTCATAAATAAATTAAGGAACTATGTCGCCATAAGACAGAGAGATGGTATGAAACAAAGTCTTATCGATCTTCCCACAACGTCATCTGACTGTGAGAAACGTAAATAAGAATTACATATCGCCTGCCTAAAGTTACCCAGATAATGCCCTTTTGAGTAAAAGAAACGGTATGTCTTCTCTTCTGCGAAGAAACAAATCACGGCTGCGAGGGAGACTAGCAGTCTAAGCGAGTGGACAATTTATTTCAATAATAAACTGTAGCAAGGTCAATCTCATGTATCATGTTCTGTTTCATTTTTCGGACAAATGAAGTACTGTGGAACGTACAAAACAAAGAGCCAAGGGACTGGCAAAATTTGTTCGCTTTCACGCGGTTTCGTTATATCGAAGTTCTTTTCCATGCATATATTTTACTATTACTGGGTAAAGAAAATCATTCGTTATACCGAGGACTTCGTTATATAGAGGTTCATTGTATCTATGTCCCACTATACAATTGTTCCCTAAAATTTGTAGAGAAAACTAATTACAAGGCTGAAATCTGTGAGTTTTTGTGCTACTATAGAAAGCAACGAGGCCTTTAAAATGTTAAAGGAGCAATGTCGCGACTGATATATGGTGTTTTCTCAGCACGCTAGTTTCAGCTGTAGTTTTAAGCAGTATGTTGTTGTTATCGTGCAGCAGTCAAACAGATAAATAATTAAAAAATAAACGTTAAAATTCTTTGCAATGGTACATCTAATTTGATCGGGTATAATTCACTTCCTTCCCTTAGGCATTGCAAAGACGTTTTAAAATAAGGTTCATAGTATACTTGGCAACGCAACATAAGATAAGAACTAACATGTTTCGAGATTTGTGCGTGGAATGCAGCTGAACATGAAAGAGTTGCTTATTTACTGAATCCCTTAATTCAGTCTTTAAGTCTTCAAAAGAATGAGGACAGAGATAAAAGACCGTGCAATTTGTTGATGAAACAGTCAAATCTCTCAAGAAGGACCGCCCTTTGGTACCAGCAAGAGTCAGCCTTAGAGTCTCTTCTCTCTCTTTAGCCCTTTCTTAGTTACCCCTGATACAGGGGTGGAAATTTCTTTTTGAAAAATCCTACGAAATATATATAGTGCTTGTCGTTGTCATAGTAAAGCGCACAAAATCTGTTTTATCAGGTGAGGTAGTAACATAAAGAGATTGAAAAGCTCAGGTTTTGAGCACTAACAAGTTGTTAGTGCGAAAATGGCGCGTGGTCAATGCCTTGGGATTCTGAAACCAGGCACAAATCAGTTGAATGAAAGGATTTCATCTTGATTCCATTCCAACTTGGAAGGTAACTGATTGTTCTAAATTTTTGCGGCTTTCCTTGTTACCTTGGCATAGCGAAAGACCACAGTGAATGAAACAACAACCCTAGAGGAAAACCGTTTCTTATCTTCGCACCCGTCAAAAAATATCTGAACTGGATTCGCCAATTCCAAGCAATGACCCACAATGGAGAGATCTCCCCTCATTTTAACTCCTACCCCTTTTATCTCGCCCAAATCATTCACTAACTTTAGCCATGACACTGAAGCTGACAGGCGAAGTATAAGTAGAAGGGAGAAAGGGCTTTCCCAACCTCGTTGCCAGGGTTCTCTCCTGCGCGTCCCTATGGAGTGACGTAGGGATGGGTAGGAGAAAACCCTGGGAACGAGGTTAAGGCTTTCCTTTAGCGTTAATTTGCGACAAGCACCCTTAACAGAAAAAGAGCCGTGAAAGCGATCGGAGGGATAACAAGCTCTGATAATCTGAAATCTTTAGACTTTCCTTTTGTAGCCCAACCCCTCCTCTCATCGTTATTAGCCAATTAGAGCCACCATAAAACAACTCGACGCAGCCCCAAAATGATTTTGTTTATGGTCTAGTACATTGATCTTAGAAACACTTGTCTCCACATTGAAGAAAATATTCTTTTTCAATGATGAAAGACCCCAAACCACTGACTTGAAGAAACCGCAAATGAACTTATAATTTTTAAGGCTGAATACGGAGCAAAAGTACTGGGAAGACATTTTTATCCGGAAGATTAACTGACCTGTAAAGGAAACCGGAAGATTTGTCAGGGATATGGTGGAGTTGTCACATATGCGATCTGCCCGTTCTGAATAAAAGTCTCTATATCCCCAGCAATCAAATGGCGGGAAAAGCAAATTGTTTGGGAGGGATCGGTCACCTCTGTATGAAATTTTCCCTAGTTTTACCAAACCTTTAACTTGCGGTGATAGAAAAGAATACGGCAGGGTTCGTTCCCGGTTTTTTGCAACTAGATATTCTCAAGTCGTGGAAAAGCTAGCCTTCCAGGCGCTTCGAAGCCCTGAAGCTGAGAAAAACGTGGGACGCTAAACGGTAAGACGTGAGATCTCTCTTTGTGAACTTTCTTCCATGAAAATTTTGTCGTCCGGTTTATGGAGAATACAGTCTTGCGCGAAGCGCGAGAGACCTGCGTGGAGCGCGGGATGAGGGGAAGAGAGAAAACTTACTGAGGCCGGAAGTTGTTAAAGTAGCGATTGAATTTGTCCTGTGTGGTTGCGTCCTTAGTTCTTGTGATGAATGAGTTTTATAAAACATAGCTTGTGTACAGACGCCCCCTCCCCTCAGAAACATTAAAATATAACAAAGAGAAATTTGATGCTGGTAACTCTTAGGGCCGTAAGAGGTTTTAGCCGAAAATGAACCAATGAACCAGTCAAAATCCTTTCACTCAGCTTGTCCTTATACTCACCTTATTTTCGCCGCCTTCTTTCGTGAGGAAGAGCAAGGAAGAAGTAAATGTTGAAAAAGGAAAGTCTTATTTTGGGGCGGGGGCGGGGGGTATTTTAATGAGTTTTAGTGTTATGTATTACATTTTTTACACACTTACTCACGAACACGTAGGAAAAATGCAAAAAAAGGAAAAGAAAGCTAAACATAGATACATCGCAGACTCACACATAATTACATACTGACAAGAAAGAAAGAAAGAAACACACCCCGGTACCTTCTTCTCTACTTACATGAAAAAAATTACTAAAAATTAATAATAAATGAAGTAAGCGGCGACAGGATCGTATGTTAATGAGATTTTAATTATATTTTGCTCCATTTAAAGGAAAGTCTTACGAAAACAAGATGGATGGATTTAGGTTTCTGGGAAACTGTTCACCTATGCCTTCCCTAAGGCAACTTTGAGTTGGTTGTTTCCTATAAAACCTAACTTTATACAATATACCTCAATGTACCTCAGGATACCATTGTTGGCCCCTGCTCTGTGATATTTATCAGAGTGAGTGACCTTCCTGACGTCGTCAGAGCTATGTATCAAACGTGACGTTAAACGCCCCTGAGTGTAAAGTGTTAACAGTCACGCGGAAGAAATCACCTGTAACTCATCAATACCGGTATTACATTGGCAATACTTATATAGAACGTGTTTTGGAAGAAGAGGACCTCGGCTTTATCATCTCAAACAATCTATCGTGGGACTCGCATGTTATGCATATTGTACTCAAGACTAACAGAACGTCAGGTCTCCTGAAGAGGACCTGTCCACTTATTACGGATGTTAAAGTCAGGCGGACACTTTATCTCTCTCTAGCGAAGTCACAACTCTCTTATGCCACAGAAGTGTGGTCTCCCGGAAGTTTCAAATTGAGAATGATCCTAGAAAGAGTCCAGAGGCGTGCATCTCGCTCGATACTCAGAACTAAAATCGGCGAGGTCTCCTACAAACAATAATTGCTGACTCTTCGACTACTTCCACTTACTTAAGATAGGGAAACTAGAGATCTTGTATTCCTTTTTAATTGCATTTCTGGATCTACCCACTTAAATATCGATCGATTCGTTACCTTTGTCTCACATGACCGGCCTCGTTCTCAGAATCCTGCCCTTCTGTTAAAACTTGCCTATTGTAAAACCATTACTTTTCAGGTCTCCTTTTTTGACCGGATTGTAAAACCCTGGAACACTATTTGCAGACAAGCTATTTCCGACAATTCTCCAGCCTAAGCATTTTTACGAATTATCTGCGTGCTACCTACTTTTCCATGTTAGATACTACTTTTCAGTGATATTGGCGTGCCCTGTCTCTTGTTCCTCTCTCGCAATTGCCCGTACCACCGTTCATAATTTACACTTTAATTACTGTCTTTTGTGCATTTTTATTAGATTTCACCGTTTAACTATTACATTTTAACTACCGTTTTAAGAGAACGTTTTTTAGATTTTACTTATAGCCTCATGGGTCACGTGTCCCGTTCGCGCTATTTCGCATTGGCCTCTTTCATGCTAGTATTTGGTCTCCTTCATGCTAGTGTTTGTCTTGTTTCTATTTATTTGTTATAGTATTGGACCAATAAATTTGTTTTAAAAAAATTGTAAAAAAAAAATGATAATGAATTTCAGATAGGTATTAGCTACAGTACTTACAATAAGAAATAAGGGCCCCTGCTTACTTTATACGTGTATTTTATATAATTGTAAGTACAACTCAAAATCTAAAACTCGCCAAAACGGCTTTGAAAAGGTTCTAGAAGCAGACAGACAGTAAAAGACATAACACAATCACAAGGTGAGTCATTTATATTTTGAATATTTTAAGTATGTATTTTTTTAGTCCCATATATTTTCGTAAGAAAATTCGAATTCCAGGAACTCCCATAGAATCTGGGCTGCATAGCATGTGGTTTTCCTTATTGAAATGATAATTTCTCTTCCCGCGGTCCTGAAAAAAGTATTATAGTTTCTTGCACAAAAATGTAGTACATCATGTACTATTGAAAGCAAGAGATCATCATAGGACAGTGTCCTATTATGGCTCTCGTTGAAAGCTATTATAAGTCAACGTTACTAAGAGAAATACAAATCAAAATTTTAACTTAGTTCTTCAAAGTTTCTCTCGAAGCATGTGACAAAAATAAAAGACATTTGTTTGAACTTTTACAATATATCTCCTTACCATTACTGCTGTAGTCTGTGTGGCAGGCGCCGGGATTT